TTCTATAAGAGCATAGTCATTTTTCAAGATATTTTCTACGCTTTATGTGCTCTAATTGCCGTTCTCGTTTAATTAATGTTTGTATGTTACTTTAAAAAAAAAAACGGATAAAAATATTGCATCTGAACGTTAATACGCATAGAGTGAAAGCAGGCTAGAGAAACAACTTCATAAAAATTATTGTTTAATAACATTAATGCGTTAGCTCAAATACTTACGAACTTACCTACTCCATAGTATTTTAAAGCGTGATTTTCAAAACTAGAACATGTGTACAAAATCGAGAATAAATAAATATTTTTCCCCAAATACGTTGCAGAAACATCGTGACTAAAATAGATGTATATTTAATGCTGAGTATTAATGTCGCAAAAATTAACAAACCTTCTCATTCTCTTTGAATTTATATTGATAATGTGATAACGGGAATCCAATGCAGTACGATAAGCTGTGCCTTTGAGTAACATAATCAAGATAATAAATATCGCAACTACTTAATTTCCTGATACACGTTAAATGCATTTCTTCTATACTTCTTCTGATACATTTCTTCTAATGCAATAAATTATTTGCAGTATTATTTTAATAAAGCGTAAAGATTTTTGAGAATTAACAAATAGTTATAAATCTCGGTCAATTATCATAAGGTTCACTTTCATTAGAAATGTAAGATATGTGTGGATTTTACTTGTATATATATAGTTAGTTACAAAAAGATTGCAGCAGTTTTTTCAGTTTCGGATGCATGTCATATCTAATAGAATAATGCATCTAACAAGAATTACTGAAAAACAAATTCTTCTATCGAACACGGAAAGCGTTCCGAAACTTATAAAAAAGAACAAAATACACACGCTCGTCATCAAGGATGCCGTTTCGGATGTAGAACGAAATAGCGAAACGAAAAGAAACATATTTGACTTGGCTTCCAGGCTTGCCGCGTTCTTTATTGAATTTGTTCCCGACATTTCATGAATACTTTTAGTTTACTTCTTTAGTCTGCATCTACAATAAATACTAAGCTTTGTCCATTTTTTCTAAGCAATAAAATGTAACGTAATTTCTGACAAAAGTTTTAATAACACTCGAATCTTAGGAATTGCGCTGGAAACGCCTTTTGCTGGAAATTTCGTTGCAAGTACGGTGTTTCGAACAAAAAAGCCAAGGACTTATTGTAGATTCAGTCTTGCGATCTGCAAGAGCGAATTTCCAGGTAACAAGTTTAAACTGTTTTCAAACAAAGACAAATACAGGTTAATATTTGGTTGACAGTAGTATAAACGGGCGGTATAATCGCGTAACATTATACGTCGATAATCGCGCGGCATCATAGAATACTTATCGCGTTGTCGGCACATTTGCACATGTGTGTACGCATTATCTGACGTGTGGCGCGATTCCTCGGTTGCTTGCGGCCGAGATTCTCCCTCCGTTCGTGAAAAGAGCAAGACAACGGGTGGATGACTCATGAGGGATCGCGCGAGCCTCCATCTTGTAATGATCGGTGTCCAACGAGCCGGAGGCTCCTGTCGTCGTAATTTTACGTGTTTTCGCTCCCGATAAAAATATTGACAATTTCTCGACTCCCCGACACCCGGAGAACATATCGGGATCATGCGATACGCGACGTAACGTCACTTATCTGAAACGTTGTAGTATTACGTTCTCCGCATGCACATCCGCCAGTGATAATTATTATGCGTAATCATGTATGACGCATCATATATGACGCGTTGTTTGTTTTGAAGCCAAAATCGGATATTCTTTCTGGTCCCCTTCGCATTTCCTCGCTTCGAAAATCCCTTTGTCTTTTTAGCGCAGCTAGGGCGGATGATGAAATAACTTGCAGAGATTACAAAATGGCGCACTCGCGTTTGTGTCTTGCACCTGAGAAGTATCTCCCTGCTGAATTTCGGAGAGCGCTGCGCTCAATTGCCACTTTTGTCGAGGCACGAGCACAATAAAAAAAAACAGAAGAATCTACGTGCTTTTGCGCGAACATCTTTGTATTCCTTATGGAAGCTGTCCCATACACACATGTAACACACACGCGCGTGCGCGCGCACACACACATATACACACATGACTAGTTATTTGTGAATCCGGGTCGAGGTAGTTATTCCGTATTCTCAAATTCGCGAAATACCGTTGCTGAGTAAAACTTGCAAATTGACTCCCCTCCTTTCCCGTTATTCATCTTATAATCCTTCATTGATTTAATTAAATAGAATATATAATAACGGTCGAAGTCACATCAAACGAGTTTCGGTTACATGAACCTGGTATAAACGATGACTCACTTTTTCTACACTCTAGTAAGGAGGGGAAACAAATATAATTTCGATCAATTCAGTATCCTGTGCGCTCTGATATGCTAAGATTTTCAAAATATTACACCGAATGTATTGCGATGTGAAGGAATTGTTATATTATCAAATTCGTTTCAAAATCGAGTGAAAAATTGCCTTACCATGTAACATAGGAAGGGAAATATTAATTTTATTCTTTAAATCTCTTGGAGCGAGTTCTATTTCCATCAAAGTAAATAGAAACACTGTTATCTCTTATCTAGAACTCACTTTGAGAAATTTAAAGAATAAGCCGAATAAATGTTGAACAGGGATTATATAATCGGTTCGAAGGATTTTTTTTGAACAGATGTGGACTATTATACATTGAACCATTATTAACAAGGTAGACTATAATTTATAAAAAAATTATCAGTCCAGAGTTAATTAATTTTTATTATTTGCAGAAGATTTAACTTAAGAATAACACGGCTAGGTTATGTTAAGCAGGAAATAATTCGCGCAAGACACGAGTTACGAAATGGCGGCGATGACTCATCGATTCAAGTCGAATATTTGCCGTTTATATTGTAGTCAAATTTTCGACTTTTACGAAATGGCGGCGATGACTCATCGATTCAAGTCGAATATTTGCCGTTTATATTGTAGTCAAATTTTCGACTTTTACAGACTTTATTCAGGCACCTGTTAAAGATCATGAATCACGGCAATAGCATATATAACGTCATTATCCGTAACAGGTGCCTAGACGCAAAATTCAAATGTATGATATATAGTATATACCCGAAGATTATTTTGATTACGTAACGCGTTCATCCGAATCAATTGTTGGTCAAGCTTGATGTGAGAGTACCCCACTCTTTGTTGATTTATGACACCGTTGTTTAGCGTATTATCACAGCTCGAGTTGTTTCACGGCTGAAGAAAAATCTTTCGCATTTATTTATATTTAATAAGATTTAAAAAACAAATTTTTTTTTTTATAAGTATTCCAGTTTAAAGAGCAGTTTAAAGAGACTTTCAGTTTTAAAAAAACCAAATACATATTTGACCCACAATATTGTGGGTCTTTATTTTTAATTATAAAAAAGATTGAAGAAGATTAAAATAAAAAATGAACATACTTATAAACACATACTTCCAAAGGATGTCCCAGAGGACGTCTTACGTCCTAAGAACGTTCTCAAAACGTCCTTCGGATAGAATATGCTGTGTAAGTAATAGTATATAAATAATAAAAATATATCTGTATAAGATACTGTTTCTTGCGTAAAAAATCGATAGAATAATGGGTGAACCGTCATCAAAGCACCTGAGGCGATGTACATATAGTGCATGTATCGAGTTCGTCGCTCTATGGAAAGCTCTCGAAAGCTCGGGAGATGAGTTACTTAGCGTGTGTCTCACTCGCTCTAATGTGTAGCAGCGCACAACTTCAAGGCTACTTTGTTCCATAGAATTGCAGAACAAACCGATATTGACCCAACGACGTATTTATTATTATAAACTTTCTTCCCCATCACCCCGCAGATTATTCCGTATCATATCAATTTACGTGATTTTGGTTTTTCTTTCTTTCACGAGAACGCACTGACATACGACCGCCGAGGAGAGAAAGAGAAAGGCCTGCCACTTGACGACGCACGTGTTCGCACTTGTTGCGGCTCAGGCACCTTGCACGACGAGATTCGCTTTAATTTGAATTTGAAACGATCGAGTGTGAATCCAGTGATAAAAATCTATTAAAGAATCGATTAAAACTCTGTAAATCCATTTTCAAGCGGACTTTTGCGTATTTTCTGATCGAGCAGCCGACGCGACGCGTAACATGCACGGACATGTATCTCATCTCGCATAGGCGCGTAAACTCCTTTTCCCTTGCCATAAAGTTCGTGTACTTACATGCCTAGATGCCATGTCTTAGCTTGTTATGTACAAAAGTAAATCCTTTTTAATAAAAAAAACCCCAATAATTCCGCAGACTGCGTTATTTATTCAATCCAGGGGGTCCAAGCGATCGGTCAGAGCACTGTTGGGATTCCGATCACGTCTGCACTCCTGCAACGCTCATCACTGAATGCGCCTCTCGCGCCGAAGCAGAGTGGACTGAACACGTTCGTACATGTTTCGGCCACTGCCGCCTGATTGGCTGCAAGAGCACAGTGACGGGGGCAACAGGTATCGGTGATCAAATCTTTAGAATCATCCTTAGAATCATCACAAACTTCGAGCATTTGGCACACAAAGGTTTAAATACAATGAAGGGAATAAGAAACAAGAAATTAATTATAAGAAATTAGGAATAAGAATAACGTTAGAAATAAACTAAGTTTAAAACACACAATAAAAGGAATGGAGAATAACACATAAGAGAGTTTTAATACAAGATCGAATCACTCTTACTATACATTTTCTGAAGAATCTCTATTACAATATTATATGTTAACACAATAGTTATCTTCTTGACACTTGCCGATTGATCCAAACTTTCCATTTGTATATTAATGATTATTGCATCGCAACGTAACTTTTTATGAAAAATTATCTTGTCAGTTGTTAACCCGGGAATAAACACCTCATTTTTCATACATAAACGATCACCTGGGGTCATTTAGATCCTAATTAAAAACTTCTATTATTAACAAAATATAACACATTGTCGGTTGTTTTATGATTTATTATTATTTAGGGTCATTGTAAATATAATCTATTCACTATTAAAAAAAAATGAGGGGAAATAAAAAATATATTTAAGAATTGGAGTAAACATAACAAGTGTCTTATTATGACAGTATTTCTAATAAATGAAGATATCAATTTAAAAAAAGCCGTTTTATTGCCTTTTTTCGATGGAATAAGATATTTAAAGGTTCATAAAGAATAATTATTAAGAAAGATTGAAAATATATTAAATAAGATTCATTTTATAAGAATGTAAAGTAAGGCTAAATCGCGAAGATGTGATAGATACACATTGGAAAAAGAGAAGTTCCAGCTTTCTTCATTCTTAAACGAACGAATGTTCTTAAACGAACATCGTACATTAATTAGTTTATCTCCTATGAATAATCGGTCGAAAAGATGTCTTTGACTTTAAAGCTTTTGGGTAGTCTCTGCGACTGTTCTTATTTAATGACGTAAGAAGCGAAAAACGCATGCCAAAACTTTTTATGTTATACGTTCAAATAAAAAGATATCTACAAAATAACATTTATGATAGATTCAACACATTTATAAAAATGAACGAACACTTTTTCTTTATTCGAACAATCAATAAATAATTGCAAAATTAATTTGACATAGAATTTTCCCTCCTGACTTCTTTTCTCACAATTTGTCAATGTTAATTTTAGGACTATTTATAAATTGTTCGAGTAGAAAAAAAGGGTTTGTTCAATTTTACAAATGTGCTGAATCGATCATAATGTCATTTTGTGGACATATTTTATCTGGACGTATAACGCAAAAATTAGCGTGCATTTTCTCGCTTCTTAAACGTTATTAAATAAAACAGCCGCAGCGGTTACATTACGAGGTTTAACGAGGAATAACATAATGAGAAAAAATCGTAATATTTCCAGATATGTAAATTAAAAGAAAAAGTACAAACTTTCAAAATGTATAAACGTCACTCGTCTACAACTTTTCATCCATACGATACAATTCGACAAATGTTATAAAAAATTGTAACACTTCATGGAACTTGGTTTATATTTTTATATTTTACATTTTTGTAGTACTGTAAGAAAAATAAATAATAAATTTCATATTTCACAATATATCTCTTTCTGGAAGTCAAAGATTGGAAATTGTATATTGCTTCTTAAATCATTTCATTATTGCTATTTTTATTTTAATTACAAACCTATTGAATTTTGCTTATTTTACGTCATCAAGACATGTGATCCTTTAATTTTATGTGTATTTACCTTTATTAATATCAAAAAATATTTCTTTAATTTTAAATTATAAGAGTAAACTGTATTTGAAAGATTTAAATTCAACATGGAAGAAGTATACTATAAAATGTACCTGACGATTCTAAAAATGTAATATGTGTAAAATAATATATAATAATACAGGCAATATCCGAAAGAATAATATTATATCACCTATACACGTGTGTCTGAATAAAATATATTACCTGAGCCGTGTGAACTGGTATTTTAATGGTAAATTGCAATTATTAATAGAAACAGAATCGCAAAAGGACATATCAATACATCTTTCTCAAGTAAAAAACATAATATATATTTTTTACCTTAGTATGTATTATATACACTAATAAAAAATGGAAACTGTCTTATGATCTAATGCAATGTGACGTTATAATAAGCTGTAGTAATATAATACTTAATATATTCAAACGTATTTTTAAGTTTAAAGCACCTTAAATGATAAGCTACCAAAACATAATAATTTTCAAACAATTATATTATACGGGACATTGTCGAGAATTCGCTGTGGCTTTACATATTTTATTTACGATCGGTTATCCGTATTTATATTCAGCTTAATCGTTCGTGGTTCGTGCTATAATTACTGTTCGTTATTACGTACAAGTTTTCCATTTTCACAGAAATTACATTCTTTCAGAGACAATAAGTTTGTAAATCCGGTGCTATTTGATTGGGAGAAACATGACAATGCCGAAAACTATTAACTCACTTTTTTTTGCTCAAGTATAGGGTTATCACATTACCATTCACACACGATGTTTTCTGAAAATGTACAAATTTCATGTCGAAGGGATGTACATCAATAAGTATGTGGAAGGTTGTTTTTTTTTCTTTGCGCGATCTTTCGAATTATCTAAATATATACGGAGTGTGTATACTCTGTCATATTCTTATCCAGGTACTACTTCATCGTTTAAGGATTCTTTTCCATCACTGCAGCCGTACCGCACTATAAAGTCGCAACGAAATGTCAATTTGATTGACACGATTTTATTTTTCTGATATATGCTTTGCAGTGTGTTGAAATAAATTAGTTATTTTCGCGTATCACAACTTATACCTAGATAGAATAAATTTCTGTAACGTGTTGTAACGACTATTCTTAGTTCGAGTATTAATAAATTGCCGTAAATCTTAATTAATCGTTACACGATCGCTCGAAAAATATAACGCGGAAAATAGAAACAAAAGAATATTTATTTATTGCTCGGTATGCCCTCAAAATTATAGTAAATAATGGACTGCAGCCACAATGAGCTGGTACGATAAGATTTTGAATAACGAGAGCAGTAAGAATGCATTTCCATTCGCATATGAAGCAAAAGAACGTCAATTGATACTCCCGACTAATTTAAGACCACAAAGTACAACATTTACATGCATGTAAAGATGCATGATCGAATCAGTATACCTATTTATAAGGAACATTCCTAGTTGATATGCAAAAGTTGTGTTTTACGTATTTTTCAAATGTACGTCCTATGATATATGTAAATAAAGTATGTACACACTTATTGTTCTCTTATTAATAAACAAACAAAACATGCACTTACTGAGTGTTGTACTGATCCAAGCTATTGAATGTTGTGACATGGTAAAACGACGAATTTATTTCAACCTGTGGAGGGCGCAAGAGAGAGAAGTTGGTATGACATCTCGCTTGTGACATCATAATCCAATATGGTTATAGCAAGGAGCTAAGAGCCTTAAATTTACAGTATATGCAGTTCCATCGGACTTACTCTTACTGGCAACAAATCGTCTTTCACATCACTTCCATACCATTCTGTGTGTTCTCCGTAAAGCCTAACGTGGATGTGGGCGCATCTTGCGAGGTTTCTTCCAGAGCTTGCGCGTCCATGCCTTCGGGAACGGCGCTCGCCGTCGTAGTGGCACAATCGTCCCAATTGATCTTAAATCTAGTGACACGCGGCTTATCGCCTAATATATTCCTCTGCACCTTGTCGAATTGTGGCTGCGGAGGTGGATTTTCTCTAAGTTCCGCATCCGTGTACTCGTTATTTATGAAGTAACCGACACGAACGAATTCGTGACCTCTATAGGAGCAGGTCAGCAATACAACAGTCACACCCAGAGCATCGTTTACTGGAATTCTACTCACATCTGGTGGGTCGGCCTGGAATCAAGTGTAACAACAATTAGATATCTGTATTGTGTGGTTAAATGAAATAAACTGCCATCTTATCACAGTCACAGTAAGGTATTCAATGCAAATCTGAAGCTTTACCTGGAATACAAACATATGTCTTCCTTCTGGAATCGGTCCAACGTAAATGGTGTCTAAAACCTGATCGAACTCCTCCGACTCCGCACTGCCCACGTATATCATCTTCCATTCCAGATCTGAAAGAGGCATTGACATTGCACAATGTGTTTTCATACACGACGAGGGTCGACGGGACGTTAGCTACGACGCGAAGAAATTAACCCGGCGCGAATCACCGGCGTCGAATCCGAGCATAATTTCGCGCGAGCGTTGCCGCAGCAGCTTACGTTCTCGCGATTAAACGTATCATAGAATATACTCGCGGATAAATTCATGTCCTTGAGAACCGAGTGACATCACTATCGTGTAAAATTAACCTAGAGAGACGTGCGTTCGAAAATCGCGTGTGTGTGTGTGTGTGTTCGAGACTCGGGTCTCTGTTCGCGCGAATTAATATTGTCCCTGCGAGACGATACGAGCACGCACCTTCCTTGAGCTCCTCGATGCACTCGAACGTGACCTCGAACTGAAACGGATTCAGGAACGGCGACGGATTGTCGAGGACCGCGACGTTCGCTAGTTGAACCTTTGCCATGGCAGAGAAATAGTCCGAGAAGCTGAGATTTCAACAACGGTGGCTCGCGCGCGTCTCCTCTCGACGGGCAACAATGCCGCTCTCGTGGCTACGCTGCGACTGACCGCCCGGTGCGATTATTCACTCCGTAATCGCGAGGACTGCGTGTCGCGGGATAAACAACTTCATCGCAGCACGCAGGATATTTTGGCGGCAAACGAACGCTGAGGAGCGCTTCCGGTGATGCCGCGGCGGACTTACCGCCGGCAGCTGTTCGTTCGATCCTCATCCGGCGCCCGTCGGCGTGATGCACGTCGCGTCGCGAGCAGAACACGACGACGAGTTTCGCGTCGGGAAATACGAAGCGATGACGTGCCTCCGCGGAACGTTGCATTTTCGCGCGTTGTGTGCCGTGAACGTTGGTTTGTTTACCACTTGAAATGCCGTTCGTCGCGCGCTTCCGCGCCTTTCGAAACGAGACGAGCGTTTCGAGACCGGTAAGCCAGACGACCGGGAATGAATATCGGACGTTCGACTTGGTGCGCGAAGCTGGGCCTCGCGGCAGGATAACGTTGCAAGGAGCAACGTGTTCTCATTTAGAACTCCGAAAAAATCTTCCGTCTCAACCTCATGAGGAAGTGCGCGTTTGAAGCGCGCTGCAAACGCGCCCGCGTCCAATGAGAATGGATTACGCGGAGAACGCGGAGCGCCTCTTTACCGATGATGCGTTCGTCGTTGAAAGAGGTTAGTGTCTTCCGAATGTATTCGATGTGCCGCTCTTTAAAGCTTGGCCGACAGTGTGCTCTCTGCGCCTTGTTTCTTCTTGCTCTCTATCTTTCTTCTGTAAGAACTTCTATTTACTTGTGGAAAAGAGAGAGCAAGAAACGAAGAGTACATTGTAGATCAGACTTTAGTTTCCTTTCTATCTCCGAGGTTCGAAGATGCATAATTCTTCCTCGTGTAAAATAAACAATACTTTTTGCACAGTGTAAAATACGTGTCTGATGTGGTTTAGATGTAACCAACAGATTAACTCGATCGAATTGGCTAATTATCTAAACCATGATGACAGGAACGCGTTAGATACATGAAAGTTGGCGTATGGGTTTTCACCTCGGCCAATTGAATGGAGTGAAATAGGTGTTATGGCTTCTGCCCACAAGACGCGACCAATCCCGTTTCCCCATAAGAATTAAAAGTTTATTGGCTGCCGCATCGCTTCTTGTTGCGCGTTAGTATTCTGCGTCCTGTGGCCGGAAACTATTATATATAAGATCCGACTATGAATACCGGCTTTGAAAATCCAACTGAATACCTTACGGCTGGTATTCATAGTCATATCTTAAGCCAGCGGCACATGATGCTTGTTTTCATGCTGGATTGCTTACTGAATAATAATATTGCGTTCTGATTGGTACATTTCCGAAAATGGATGGTAATACACCAATCAAAACGCAGTATTTTCACCCAGCAAACAATCCAGCACGAAAGCAAGCATCGCGTGTTGCTGGCTAAGACGTCTGAAAGATATCTTATGTCTCGATTTTGGACATTGTGCTGTCTGAGTAAACTTAAGACAATCTTAAATACAAGATGCGATTGAATACCGGCCTGCATACCGGCCAAAAACATAAATTGGTGTTGATCCACAATAGATATTTTAAGTCTTAAACTTTGAGAAATTGACCAATCACACTTAACTGTTCTCTTCACATTCGACTGTGATTGGACAATTCCTTAAGGCTTAAGCTTAAAATACCTATTGTAGACCGGTACTAAAGCGTCTTCAATGAGAATTTAAGGCGTAAGATTTAAGAAATTAACCAATCACAATTGATTGTTCTTCTATAATTCGATTATGATTGGTCAATTTCTTAAGGTTTAGGGCTTAAAGCACCTATTGTAGACTAGGACACTCTACTGAAGAACTTACGATCATGACGTAACTGCAACGACGTTACTCCAAAATAATAACTATCGTTATGCTAACAAACATTCTAGTTGCGAGACCAGCTAATCTCGAGAGCTCTTAGTTATTAAGATCGATCTTCATTTCAGACAATCGGTCCATCCGTTCCTTGCAATCCCAGACAACATATAAAGCGGCCCGCAGCAGCAGGTTGCGCAGAGGGCGCGGTCGCGCGGGTATCGCTCTATCGGAAAAGGAGGGAGCGAGCGTGGCGACGGAGCGAGACGGACGTCCGCGCAGCAGAAGACGTGGCCATTTTTCTCCTGACATTGCCGTAAAGCTGCGGCGGCTCGGCGGTGCTCGTTTGGGGGATATCTCTCTCTCTCTCTCTCGAGGGTGGACCGTGCCGACGACGAGGACGAGGAGGAGGAGGAAGAGGAAGGAGCGTCGACGAGAGTCGGCGTAGGAGACTACGGGCGGTAACCGTAGAGTAGTTCTGAGTGGAGTGCGCATTTAAAGAGATAAAAGCCGTGTGCGAGATAACGATAAGAGCAGCGAGCAAACGTCAGTGATAGGTCGTGATTGTTCTCTCTCGACGACGGCGGCGGCGGCGGTGGAGGAGGAGGAGGAGGAGGTGTGGTGTGACGGGTGCTCTCGCGCGAACGATTCGAACTGCGATCGCCAGTCGCGCACGGTCGAGTGAAAAGGTAGTCGGGTCGCGGTTGACGCGGTGCTGAGGCTTGACGACAACGGGGTGACCGTCGGGAAGAGTCAGAGTGACGACGCTGTGACAACAGCGACGGGTAGGACGAGCAACACGACGACCACGACAACAACGAGGACGTGGGGGAGGAGGAGGACGACGTGGACGGTGATAAGCGAGAAGAGAACGAGGACGTCGAGGAAAAAGAAGAAGACGACGGCGGCAGCAGCGATCGAGAGGAGCGCGACAGTCGTGATACGACGCTCTCGTATACGACGGTCGACCATCGCCACCACCTAGACGTCCGACATCGACGTACATCACCGTCCGTTCGTCTCCCCGTAGGAGGCCCTCGCGACGAGGGCATCGTGTTCGTCGTTGGTACCGTAGCGGTGCACACACAGTCACGCGCCACCGCCGTACATCAGCGCCGCGGGATGGAGAGGCGAGCCGCTTTTGTGCTGCTGGGGATGCTATATTTAGCGGGCACCCTCGTCACGGTCCAGGCAGGTGAGTCGCTGTGCGCTCCTCTCTCTCTCTCTCTCGCTCCTTTCGTCCTCTAGCCGACTAGCTCGCTCGCACGCACATTCGCTCGTCCGTCTGCGCCGATCGTTCATTTGTCCCGCTGTGTGCCGCGATACACTTGCCTCGTGGATTCCCGGTATTATCGGCGAGGAGGCTCGTCATCGTCGTCCGGTGACGTCGTCCTGGCCGCCTTCGATTCCTCGGTTTCTCGTCCGAGTAGGAGGACGTCGACGATGACGACGACGACCACGGGACTCATTCATGTCGGTCGATAACGGCTCGTGCGATCCCGTGTCCCGTACGTGGTGGATGATATTTGACGCTTACGATGATTGATAATGCAAATCCAACACGGAAATTGCCACGGTCGGCACCGGCCGCGAGAGTACTCTGGTATTGTGAGAACTCTCCAATTTCCGTGCTTGGATTTGTGTTATTATTTCTCGAGAGCGTGCGAGAATGCAATACAGCGTTTGCGGCACACAACAACACGAGAGTCCTTTTAAATACGTCTTTCCTAATGTCAGGCACGACTTGTCGTCGAGCGACGAGTTCCGTCGATAACAGGGTCGCGTTGCGACGCATCGAGAATGCGTTATCGGTGAAAAATGATGACATTTTCCTTTTTAATAGCATTTTCCGTCGATTGTATAACTGTATCTCGGGTAATTTTCCGACACAGCCGACAAGCCGAAAATGACGAGACTTGCCGTGACTTTTCTGAATTTCACATCCGAAAGCGAAGGTTTCATCGATTTGTGCCGACACATCACACTCGTCGAGGCCTGACGAAGCCTGAATCGCACGGCAGTCGGATTTAATTAAGTCTGGCTTAACGACTTCACCGTGCCGCCGCATAAATTATAGTCATATTCGCATAATGCGATTAAAGGTTGTGCAGGCATAATTAATCGCTGTGAGCGAGTGAGAGATGCTTGCTGCCGCTCCTCGAAATGTATAGCTCGGCGTTTCAAAGTCGAAGTCACCGTCGAACACAATAAAATGTTCATCTAAAGCGAGGTCTACAATGAGAATTTAAGTCACAAGATTTAAGAAATTGACCAATCGTAATCGAATGTATAGAAGAATAATCAATTGCGATTGGTCAATTTCTTATGGCTTAAAATTCTATTATAGACCTAGCCTTAAGTCCCGATCTACAATAGGTGTTTTAAGCTCTAAACTGTCAGAAATTGACCAATCATAGTCGAATGTGAGGAGAATAATCGACCGTGATTGGTCAATTTCTTGAGGCTTACAACTTAAATTCTCATTGTAGACCCCGCTTTAACGATCGCTTTCACTCGGCTTTCAGTTTCTTCGCTTCAGCTTTCCGTAGGTGAAAATTATCGTTCGGTTTGCGCTCGGTAATTTCCAGTGTAACTATTTCGGACGCTCTCGCCGAGAATCGCACTCGAGAAGTAGACACAGGCACGTGCTACGGTTCGCATTGTTCACGCATTTTTCACGTGTTTAACTACTTTGTACGAGAGATTTTTTTTTTAATTTAAAGTGCCTCTGCAGATTCTTCGAGTATTAAGCGTAGTCTGCAATGGGCGGTAGGAATATGTTCGTAAAAAATAAGAATAAGAAATTGTCCAATTATTTTCGAATGTAAAGAAAATAATCGACTACGATTAGTTGATTTCTCACTCTTACTTATAAATATTTGGCACCCAGCTGACATAATTCTCGAGTGTAATATATACTTGCACATTCTTAATGAGGATATAACACTGGTTACATTCCTTGCGTGGTTTTTCGCGAGTCCTGTAAATCTTACTAAACGTCCGATGGACGTAAGATTGTAAAGTTTTTTGGGGTGTTAAAATAAAAAAAAATCTTATAAACATATTCCTATACTTGCGATCGTTCCTTTCCCATTTTATATCGGAAGCTCGCACGAGCAACGCGCGCGAGAGAGAAGTAGACGGACGCGGACGTTTTAGCGTCCATGCACGAAAATGAGAATACCGGGCTTACGGTTTTAGATGTACGAAAATGGAACATTTATCTCGGACCGCGATTTCTGTCGGGATTGCGGATTATAATTTTCCCGGAGACAACTGAGTCGTGAAAAACATTGGTTATCGGATAGTCGCGACGGGCAGGAGGAAAAAATCGCCTTCTCAGGCCGTGCGCGAGCAAATCTATCGTCGAGTATATATATATTTCATTACGGCCGCGTATCGATCGCGTGAACTTCGCTCGAAGATTAGATTGTCCATCAGATAATAGTAATCATGATTTCCTTGCTTTAACGAGCCGGGACTATCCCGATGGTATATGGCGAAGTTTAGATTAGTTTTGAGTTTACCTAGGGAGAAAGAGGGTCCCGGAGTCTTTAAAGATCTCGTAACTGATGCGGCTTTTAGTGCCGACATAATTAATGGCGGGGCGGGCAATCGGCACGGTGTCCGCAGTTTGCGCGATAAAACGCGCAAATCCGCGAAGCGATCGCGGAGCGAACGGGAAGATAGTCGCAGAGACGACCGCATTTCATTTGTTTCGTTTGCCGATGGCTTCCTTCGCTTTAACGTTCACCTTTGCTATCTCAGTGCTTATCTCGAGTGCCTCCGTCGTATGTCTCGCAAGTGCAAAAAAAGAAAGAGAGGAAACCTGCGGGAAAGTTGAGCAATCTTCATTAATGATAAGCGTTACACGTACGGTTTGAGTATTTTTTTCCTGAAACTGCAATCTTTTATCTATCTTATTTGATAATATCTCTCCTTCTCTCTCTTATTTACTATTCCTCGTTCGGGATGGAAATTTGAAATCTCTTCGTTCGAACGTCTTTACGACAATTGCGGCGAGACTTGAGTCGTACACGACAGATAAAACACCACAGGTGTGAGTGAACGATTGCCTCCTGGCACGAGTGTTTTTTTTTTTCCTTTTCCTTTCTTCTATTGACACGAGGATCACGATTTTATCACGTAAGGATGCTAGTCTGATTCGCGATCGCACACGTACTGTGTGCCCTCTCGATGTGGTTTCGCAAGATCCTCCGTGTGTTTACGAATGCGTAGTATATTTCGTCGGTATGCTCTTTTCAGACTACTAATATTTACAATAGCTCGGACGCGTGTGGAAACGATATACTCATACTTGAGAGAGAGAGAGAGAGAGAGAGAGACGAGGAAGTGCCGCCGCGGTAACTTTAAGCGGAGGCGAGAACTGAAAGTTGTGCGCTCATTCAGATTCTTGTAACACGTGTCCCGCGCGCGTGTAAATACGTTAACGCAAAATCGCGCGCACCACGAACGCGCGACAAAGAAATGTAGCTGCACAGAGAAAAAGGTTTCCCTAGATTTAGTATTTCTATTTATTCGACTAAAATTTGTTTCATAGAAACAACGTACTTGTACAAAATATTACTTATCTGGGTAAAAATTTTATTGTTTCATTCACAAAAAAACTCTATTATTTAATAGAAAGAATGGTATTATTTAAAACAATATTTTTTCACCAAAAGGACGAAAACAAGGTGTAAGACATAGACAAAAATAGTCTCAAATCAATTATAAATATTTTCTTATACAAGGTGTCCCAGGTGTGCCACAAGGTGTGCCAACAAAAATAGAGACAAACTTCGTAGAATGTAGAACGGATTGAGATGATCAAGTTCACAATTTTGCAAATAACACGCAATATTTCGAGTTATTAATTATTGAAAATGGTCATGTACAGAGGCTTCTTTAATTAATAATTCAGAAAATGCGTATTATTTATAAAATGGTAAAGGACTTTTTTTGTTCAGAGTGATCTAATCTACAAATATATGACAGCTGTTATACTTAGACAACAGATATCAGTATACGATATCAGTATAGTTATACAACAGATATCAGTATTTTGAACTTTGAAACTATCGCCGGGTACAACAGCTATCGCATACTTGTGTTAGTTAGGCCATTCCGAACAAAAAAGTCCTGTACCATTTTGCAAATAATACACATCAATTTTTGAGTTATTAATGGTAGAGGACTTTTGTTTATTTCAATCCGTTCTACGTTCTCACGAAATTTATCTCTGTTGGTCGGGAACACCCTGTATAAGCAAAAATATTATAATATTCTTAGAAGACTTTCAGTCTTGAATCGAATGCAAATAATATTTGCATCAATATAAATTCAATTAAATCAGCACTAAAACCTCCTAAGAAGATTATAATATTCTTGCTTATGTATGAGAATATCTGCCATTGATTTAAGACTAATTTTTCTTTATGCCATTATGCAGATTCATCGTTTATTAATCTCACACAAATATGAAAAAGTGCATTAAGCAATAATACGTGAAGTGTTCTTTTTTTCGTTTCTAAAAGGCGTATTCCTTCGCGAGGGCAGGAAATTACAGAAAAAATCCCCAAGCTAGACGGATTTTAGCTGGTTAATTAGCAGCCTTCTGCTGGTCAGATTTCCTTGTCGGAAGACACGTCGCGTTTGCAATTTTTCTTTTCATCTCAGGCCGCTCGTAAGCGCATCAGTGAAATAAATTTTTCCGCGTCCCCGAGAACGTTTTACCTCCATTACAGAGATTACTTCTCTAACAAGAGAGCAGGAGAATTGCCTTTGAAAGAGGCACGGAATATCTCTCGAAGAGATTCGATAGACAATCGTGGACAACCAGAACTGCAGCTGCGAGATTCGAGAGACACGTTTCTGAACGATTCTCCCAAACGCAACGCGTCGAAAATGCGGCGGTTAAATATTATGATGATTCTCGGCATTGCGCAGTAAACACGATGCGATGGCACGCGTTTATTAGCGTAATTTACGATCTGTTGTATCTCTCGCGGCGAGCGCAATGCTTTATAGGTCATTTAATGAGACTTATCGACACGCCGCCATCAGGACGCGTTCTAAAAACGTTTAGTCGATAATGCTGCAACTGTGCATCCTGGCGACACACGCGCTCGCTGCACCCGCCGACAGTTGAGCGCGCACGCTTCTTCAGCCGTTTTAATCTCCGATTAAAAATAC